AAAAAAAAAAAAAAAAGAAAGAAAAGAAAACTTAAAAGGTAATTGGTATAAGCTTTTAAAATGATGAGCCGAAATGACTTTTTATAAAGATTGGTGGGAGGGACTGGCGAGATAGCACAGCAGGCTAAGTGCCTACTTAGGCAAGTGTGGGGACTGGGATTTGACCCCTGGCACCACATGCTGTGCTGGCCCCGCCCCAGGTGGGGTGAGCAGGCCACTGAGAACTGGCTGGTGGCACACACCTGTAACCCCAGCGCTGGGGAGGATGAAAACAGGAGGATCACTATGAGTCTGAGCTGTGTAGTGAGATTCTGTACCAAATACATAAAAAAAAAAAAAGATTGGTGGGAAACTACTTAAATGCAGGTTTCTATTGAAACTTCCTGATGTTAAGAAGAATATTTGAATATTTTAAGTGCAAGGTAATATGATAGATTATTTTAGCCTAAGTGTTATAATCTTAATGTCTATGTCTGTAGATGAGGGAGAGATAAACTACTGAGATCAGTGGAATAAATTAGAGCATGTTAGATATTAAAATTCATTACTTTCAAATGTTATCATAAAACTATGAGAAATCAGGGTCTTGATGGTAGAACCACTGGTTGGCATTCATGAGACCCTGAGTTCAATCCCCATCACACAAAAGATAAAACAGAACTTTGAGAAAATAAACAATAGTTTAATTTGTCTTTTCATTTTTGTTTTCTTGAGACAGGGTCTTGCTTTATAATTCAGGCTGGCTCGAATTTACCATATAACCCAGGGTGGCCTCAAATTTACTATAATCATCCTGCCTTAGACTCCAGTGTGCTGGGATTACAGGTGTGCACCAGCAAGGCCTGCTAAATTTTCATTTTAAAAAATGTTTTATTGGGGCTGGGGAGATAGCTCAGCAGTCTAAGTGCCTGCCTGGCAAGCACAAGGACTCAGGTTTGATCCCTGGTACCTCGTGTAGTGCTGGGCCTGCTGAGCTGGCCACTGAAACAGGGTGTGGTAGTACATGACTTTAATCCCAGTACTGGGGAGACTGAGACAGGAGGATTACTATGAGTCTGTGCTACATAGTGAGATCCTGTACCAAATAAATACAAGATTACAAAAAAAAAAATTATAGTTGTTTTTTTTTTTTTTATTTCTTTTTTTTTTTTTCAGAACCAGGGATTGAACTCATGCCCTTGCACTTGCCAGGGAAGCACTTATTCTATTGAGCCATCTCCCTAGCCACCAAAAATTATAAAGTTTTATTTACTTATGGTAAGATAAAATGAGTATTGTAGGTAATTTTTAAGTAATTATTGTGTTAGGGGTAAAGCAACTGCCTAGAAATACAAGGCACTGGGTTTGTTCCCTAGCAGCACAGAATAAATGAATGGGTGAATGCATAGTTAGATAAGTATGTAAGTAAAATTTTATTTTATTTTCGGAACTGGGGATTGAACTCAGACCCTTGCGCTTGCTGGGGAAGTGCTTGTTCCACTGAGCCATCTCCCCGGCCCCCATAAGTAAAATTCTATAAATGAGTAAAAGTAATTTTTTTTAGCCAAGTATAGTGGCACACACCTGTAATCCCAGCACTCTGAGAGGCTGAGGCAGGAAGATTATAAATTCAAGCCCAGTGTGGGTATTTTTGCAAGAGCCTGTCTCAAAAATAGTAAGGATTTTTTTTTCTCCGAATGCCTTCAGGGCAGGTTTGGCTGGCTTGAGTTCTGGGGATCGAACCACAGCAACCTGAGCCTGACTGCTTTGTTGAAGCAGCCACTTGAAGAACTGAGCTAAGGGGCAGGCCCCCTTCAAACATAATAATAAAAAAACAGGGCTGGCCATGTAGCTCAGAATGCAGGTCCTGAGTTCAATCCCTGGTGCTGCAAAAAATTAAAATGTTGGAGCAAAGTAAGCCATGGGAAAATTACCTTAATTTGTAATTTAGTAATACCTCTATCGTTCGCTTTTCATAGGAAACCCCTAGCAAAATTGGGGACCCCTTAGGTGTGCTTTGGGCCCCCTGGTGCTCTGGACTCGGCTCTGCACTCCTCCCTGGAGCCTCGTGACCCCTTCCCTCCACTCCCTCTGGCACTTTCTCAGTGCACGAGATGGGCACAAGTGCGCCTACCCTTGTGTTTATTCCCCACCCATGGCTTGCTCTGGCCTGCTGTCAGTCACAATGGCTTTGCTCTACCATATTTCTTAAAATATATTTGTTAGAGCACTGAAGGGCCAAATGAGTCGTAAGTTAGACAGTGTTTGCGCCATTCGTTTCCATTTCATCCTTTCACAGTGGATATTGTCTTTGCCTCCCAGGGAGACGCTGAAAAGGAAGATGAGCGCAGGCAGTTGCGCCAGCCCCGTTACCAGTCCAGCGTCCAAGAGGGACGCTCACTTCTGCGCAGTCTGCAGCGACTACGCGTCTGGCTATCACTATGGAGTCTGGTCGTGCGAAGGATGTAAGGCCTTTTTTAAAAGAAGCATTCAAGGTAAGAGAGCTGCTCTCTTTCAGGTTAAGTGTTTCATGCTTTCATTTCAAGTTAAACTGCGTCTTTAGTTTCCCACTTTTGCTTTCAACAGTTTAACAGAGATGACCTGGTAGAGATTTCACCGCTGGCCTATTTGGTACATTTTGTGTATCTGACAGAGAGGTCAGAAGAGCATGTGTTTGGGAATGAGTAGAACAGCTGGGGTGCTGGATTGTCTCAAGCACAGAGCTGTCTCTTTAATTGCGTGGTTTTTACCCCCAACCTGAAGACTAGACAGCTAAGTCACCTTTGCCCACTAGCATTTGGGGAGATGTCTAGTTACAACTTTAGGAAGACACCACTTGGAAAAAAATGTGTACTTGTTAGGAGTTGCAAAGATTATTTCTTCATTTGACTGCAGTTTAGTATAGGGCATGCCCCCCAGTCCTGATGGTGTGCTGGCTCCTCGGGGAAAGAAAATTACTACATTCTGTGGAAATGGTCACAAATCAGGAATTCAACGGCAGGATCTTCCCTCCAAAACACTCTTGTTTTTTGGTCTAGGATTGCACTGTTTTCCTAACCTCCAAATTCCTTCTGGACTAAGGTTTATTATTTTTTGTTTGTTTGTTTTTTAAATCACTTCCTGAGTTCACTTTTAAGTGAATGTCTGGCTTCAAGGCCAGTCCGCCAAGCATGGGTCCTTGCTACCTCTCCCTCCCTTACCAAGCCCGGGGACACTTTCTTACTGGCTTGTGTTCTTTTCCGTCTCACTTATAACATGTCCCTCGTAACTTACCTTTCTTAGGCAACATCCTATTTCTATCTGTTCCCTCCCCTGTTCTACCAGAGCCTGAGACTCATGTTCTTAATTAGTTAAAAACAGCAACTTTACAGGAGTTTGTAGCATGCGGATAGCTATATGATCATCATATAGATTAGAAGGCTGGTCCAGGTCCCTGCTATCTACTAGGACAAGTCAGATTTTCTGAGATTCAGAACTTAATTTTTGGTGTGATTCTTGAGCTCGTCATCCTGCTGAGGTTTCAGACTTTTAGCTCTGAAGGAAATTTTGACTTTCTAAAACTAGCCATATCCTAAAAAGAGACTCTTTTTTTCCTGCTTGCTGTAGTAGTCATCTGTCTGCTTAAAATATCTTTGGACCTTGAGACTATAGCTGATTATAATTGAAATTTAGTTTTCCTGATGTTATTTGTTGCTACTGCATCAGTCAGGAATGTCAGATTCTTTTTTCAGTTTTTTAAAATTTGTATATGTACCCAGTGCATAATGATTAATTCCTCATGGGGAATTATCACCTGTGCTTAACATATCATAATTCTTTTTAATTCTTTTTTCCTCTGCTCTCCCACTACCTCTACAAAAAATCTGTCTTCTTGTTTCCTATTATCTCTTATTTTGCTCTTCAGTAATATTTTGTGCTTCCTTTTTTAATGTATTTAGCACGGGGTCTACAGGGTCTCACTTCACGGCTCGGAGCTGTAGTGATCCTCCTGTTTCCAGCCTCCCAGGTGCTGGGGTTACAGGCACGCAACACCACACCCGGTCTTGGGGCTTCTCGTATAGAGCACGTGATATCTAAGCTGTGTGATTTAGCTCAGTAACATTGTGATCTCCAGGTACGTCCATGGACCTACAAATACTCGAGCTTATCCTTCTTTACAGCACAGCATTGCTTCATTGGGTATAAATACTATATTCTTTACTTATTCATTGGTCAGTGGACATACAGGCTACTTGGAAGTTTTAGCTATTAAGAATTTCCCCACTAAAAAAAAAAAAAAAAATTGCAGTACTGGGG